AAGAGTCAGTCTCTCTCTCTCTCTCTCTCTCTCTCTCTCTCTCTCGCCACCCTCCCACCTCCCTTCCCTCCTTCCCTTCCTCCCAGCAGTACGGGGATTGAGCCCAGGGCCTCGTGTATGTTACACATTGAGCTACATCTCTGGTCCCATGTAACAGGATTCTGTCTCTCCCATTTCCTTATAATATACACTATGCCTGTTGTGTGAATTAGTTTACATAGTCTCATGTTTTTTGTCACCTCATGACATCTTGGGCTGCTTAGTGTCCACGAGTTCACATGTACTGTCATTTGCACAACAGTCCACTGCACCCCTGGACCATGACTGATTTAATGGCCCCTGGAACAACTACTCAGAGCAGTTCTGATTTCCCCATCACAAGCTGTATCACAGAAGATGTGTTCCCCAGGGACTCAAGGTGATTTATTCCCCAGGGACTCGGGGTGTGTCCCCAGGACACAGGACAATCCCATAGCAAATGATCATCTTGAACGAAAGAACAAGTGGCCAGGTGGAGAAACAGGCATGTCCACAAGCTGTTTGGCAGGAGCTAGGCCCCTGGGCATGTGCCTGGAAGCAAAACTGCTGGACCAGAGCTTTTAAATTTCAGATAGCTCTTTAGGGAGGGTGCACCAGTGTGTGGCTGCAGCTGTGACGTACAAGGGTGCTGATTAGTCCTCATGTCAGCCATCACTGGGACTTATCAGCATGGCCCACAGTCAAGATGGAATGAAACACACCACTCAGCACTGCCTCTTCAAAGAGCTGGGCTTCCCTGAGCTTTGGTTTCCTCACAGGATGGGTTTGGGGTCATCATACCTCTGAGCTCCAGAGAGGACCTTATCAGCCACCTATCCCCACACCGTATGTGGGCAGGGCACGGTATGTGACTGGGCTACAGTCACATTTTCTCACTGACAATATCACAATCACTCACTGCTGACCAATAAGCAGGACTGTGGTCAAAGGAAACCAGACTCAGATGCAGGGCTTAGGGAGGGGACATGGTTAGCGATAAATAATGCAACTGTGTCACTAGGTAGGATAAGCCGGGGTCCCTCCCCATGACACTGATGTTTTAACAAGTGGGACTTGGAAGCTCAACCTCTGTGTGCTAGGCATTACTGACAGGTGCTCAGATGCCTGCTGTCTCAAGGTTGTGTGGGCACTGAGAATCTGGAGGCTCCCACAGGAGGACTCCTTGTTTTTACATGAGGAGCAGGAAGACACTGAGGACAGGGCTGCCAGGTGAGTACCATGTGCCCCACACAGGCCAGGTCCTTGACTAGCCTTGTCTCACCCATTCCCAGGGGAGGCACAGCCATTGCTCACCATCGTCCAGGTCCCAGTAATGCCATGACCTGCCCAGGGCTTGTCACAGAGAGCAGAGCCATCCACCTGAGGTCAAGAGCCTGAGTTATTCTACCTGGTCTGAGACAGCTCATGACAGATGTCACTTAGAGGCCTTCCTGTGGCTTTTCTTTCCCTACAAAGATGCAAAAAACTCCATCAGCCTGTCTTGCCACACAAGGTACCAAGGTATCAATTCTCTTTGTGCCTGACTAAGTGGGCAGCAAAACTTCGGTACACAAATGGATAGATTATATGTCAGAGTGGAGAACAGAAGAGCCTGTTGAGCTGGAGGACTTTGTAACTCCAGTTAAATTAATGTGTTGGGTCAGAGAATTCAAACCAGCTACAGGACCTGGGCAAAACTGAAAGCCAAAACAAATGTAGCTCCTGTGAGGTCATAGTTTGACCACCTGTGGTGAGGTTCCTGGCTCTTCAACAAGGTGAGGAGGACACGGTCAGCTATCAAGACAGAGTACTCACACTGTGAGCAAAGTGACCCCTTCCAAACCTCACCATAGCCCTGTCTCCAGCCACACATCACGATGGTACAATGGAGGAACAGAGAGGCTAGGAAACTTGTCCAGGGTCACAGATCTAGAAAGGAGGCATCGAGACAGGTAGGGTAACAGACCCTATAGAAAGTCCCTCTGTGCAGAAAGCCCAGAAAGGGAGCCCAGTTGGATGCACAGACAGCCCTCGGCTGGGATTTGCAAGCCATGGGAGAACACTGTGCGCACATTGGAGCCTATGCCTGAATGGGACAGTGTTTGAGGTAAACCTTGGGAGGTGGTAAAGTCTCGAGAGTGGAGCCCTCGTGATGGGATGGGCAGTTTTATAAGAAGGGAGGCAGAGCTGCCTCCTCTCTTTCCACCAGCTGAGGAGGTTGCAGCCCTCTCCTGGTTCACAGGTGGTACCTGCCGGTGCCGGGATCTTGGGCTTCCAGCCTCCAGGACTGTGAGATGTGAATTTCTTTGTTTGTAAGGCACCAGATCTGTGTATTACTTGATGGCAGCTGAGTTAAGACAGCAGTACGGATGAAGCTGGAGCACCTGCTCCACAACAGGGAGCACAGCTGGGGCAGCTTCATGTCCTGTGGCACCTACATGTCACACAAGTCACATGCTTGCTAACAGGAATACCTGAGGCAGAAGAGGTCTGTTGGCAGAGAGAACTGCACAGGTCACTGAGAAAGCTCTGGAAAGACCTGCTCTTTCAGGTAACCCCCTCCAAACACACACACACATTCCTGCTCCCCCAGAAGTCCCTCACTTCCCCTCTCACTGTGTTTTCCCTTGGCCAGGTACAGGGAGAGTTACAAACAAGACCGTGTACCGCTTTTTCTTGATAGAGGTGGCACCTTTGGGTAGAACACCACAAAACAGTTCCTTGGGAAATTCACCTTTGATGACTAAGGACCTATTGTCCCTGGTACTGACCAGGCATTTCCAGTGTGACAGGGCACATGTGTGAGCCGACGGGGGTGCCCACTCTGAGCTCCACATCCCACATAATGTGTAAAACACACAGCCTGTGCAGCACCTCACTGTGTTGAAGCAGATGTCATAGGCACCCAGAAATCGACTGTCAAACTGATTCCAGCAACGCCTTCAGCATGGGGACTTCAGCCAGCAGGCTGTCATAGTCTCCAGCCTCTCAACAGGCCTGCCTCAATGGGGCCTCCACCTTTCTAAATTCTAAGGTAGATGGGGGAGATGCCAAGTAATAGAGAACTCAAGGACACAAAAGGTTTGATAACAAAACTGCCCTTGGAACGTTCATTCGGGACGAGGCAGGACTGCCCAGTGTGTGTGTGGATGTGTGTGGATGGTAGCAGATGGAGAAAAGATAAATCCTGTAGTTGCTGTGATTGAAAAAAATGGATTCATCTACTGCCTGCTGCTCCTCTGCTTCCACATCGTGTATGGGCCAAGACAGTGGGAGTGGGGTTGAACTCCAGAGGCTGCCGGAAAATGCCAGTAACGGATCCTGACCTTGCTCTCAGCCGGCAGAGCAGAGCAGCCTATGGGCTGTTCCTACTGTGGATAAATTTCCCTCAAAAGCAACATTTATAGACTTTTTCCATACTGAATTTTTATCTACTCTTAGCATTTGGGGAGCTATAGACGCTCTTAAGAATGTGCTAAAAGCTGTCTGTACCTGATTTCAGGGGCTCAGGAACCCCAGGTTATGTACCCTGGGAGTGGCAAACAGGCTCAATTTGCAAATGGCAAGAAATTCTGCCTCTCACTGATCCTTCAACCAAGTGTTCCAAGGGCAGATCTGAGGTTCCCGGTCAGTGAACATCAGGTGCCTGTCCTTTTGACTGCATTGCTCAAGTGCAGGGTCTCAGATCCAGGCAGCCTAACAATGCCCCAGATGAAAGGCACAGTGGGAGCCCTTTCTTGACGTGAGGATCTCCTTTCCCTGTGCGTGGATGAGGACAGTGCGTGCTCCTTCAGACTTACTGTGTGCAGGCCACGCCTAGGGTTGACAGGGGCTGAGACTGTGAGTGAGACCTGGTGTTCAGGAGCTGGGAACTTTATTCAAGTCCCAGCCTGTCCTGCAGGAGGCTGATGGCTGTTTAAGGGGAAGGGTTCCAGGACCAAATAAGTTTGGGAATCACTACAGGTTCCCATCTCTTTAGAAATGTTCACTGTCCTTTGGCCAATGAGTGGCTCTGAGTTTCTGCCACAAAGACAGTGATTCAATGATCAAAGGTGGGCTCCTCCAAACACATGCCCCCTTCGTATGCATGTGCAGCCCACATGCTCAGAGATGCTCCATTAGACCAGGCAGAAAGGGCTCAGAGGAATAAAAGGTGACCAGAAGGGGAAGCTATCAGATGCCGGGGTCCTGGTCAGTTCACCTGTCATGGCACCTACCACCCACATCCTTCAGTTCCAAGCCAGCTTCTATCATCAACATCAGCCACCTCCCCATTTTCCCCTGGACACCAGGGAACACAGACTGGAGCGAAGTCAGCCCCTGCAAGCTTCCTGCTCCTGACCTGTAGCTCCTCTCACCCTTAGCACAGGGGCTACAGTCCTGTCTCCCTGGGTCCAGAACATAGAGGGACAAATATGAGGCTGGCCTTCCATGGACTCTGCGAACCTCTGGTCCTGAGCAGCCCGTACTCTGGTCTACTTGCACCACTTTAGCATGGCCATTTGGGATCAAGTAACTCATCGAGCAAGCTTTCTCTTTCCCCACCTTCTACATCTCGTCATCGTTTTTTATTAGGATTTTTTGCTGTAATTTCTAAACCTTCACCATCTGACACTATCTGTGTATCTTTTGTCATGTCATCCTCAGAGATGACATTCTGAATGTCACCCACCAGCACCACTTTTATGTATTGTCAAGTATACATGAAAACTAACATTCAATCCTCTAGACATGGCAAGCCCTGTCTGATACTAAGTCCCTGCTGGGCCTCGCTGGGCACCCTCTGGGCTCACCTCAGGAAAGCCTCGTCTATTAAGGATGAGGCTGCTTCCTGGTTCTCTCCAGGTGCAGACTCTCCATCCTGTCCCTCCCTGGCCAGTGGCTAGCAGAGAAGCATCACCTTAAACATGGGTCTGTGCCCCAACCCTGGTGAGCTGAGCCTGTCACCGTGATCCCTCAGTTAGCCACCCACCCTTCCTCACCAGAGATGATGGAGTCGTTAAGTGCTTCTTCATCCTGATACAAAAGCAAGTCATCCTTGAGCTCGGAATTCAGGACCAAGTTCTCCTTATTCTCCTCAGACTCCTTAGCTGCAGTCCTCTTGTTCTCCAAGACTCCATCAAAGCTCCACGCCTCCTCCCTCTCCTTGCCTCGTTCCATGCTGGACGTTCTTGACAGACGGACATCCACCCGCTTCTTTGGGGATCCTTTGCTTTCCCGTCCTTGAAAACTAAGTCAGAAAAACAGTGCAGGTTACACATAGCCCCTTCATCTGAAAAGCCAGCACCAATGACTTACAATACCATAAGAGTCCTGCAAATGTGACCCCGTGTGTGCAGCTTCCATTCTGGGCACCTGAGCAGGAAAACCCAGAAGGACAATGGAGCCCAAGGCACATGGCTATGCAGAGTGCTCTTTTCTGAAAAGCACACAACATGCATGCAAAAAAAACCTGTCAGCTCAAGGTGCCAGCAATACACAGACCAAGGACATCAGAGAACCAAGAAAGGTGTTTGTTCAGCTAATGTTCTGCCAGACCTTAGGTTCTGTGACCTTCTTCCCTCACGGCACATGAACCACATGTGATCGAAACCAAGAATGGAGCTGTCATGAGCATAGGTTTCCTGGTGCTCGGGCAGGAAACACTGGAGGCCTTCGGAGTCCTGGACAAAGAACAGCCCTTCTTCCCCAATCATTCCATCCTGTGAAGTCTCCCACCCTACCTCCTCAGGGCATCACACAGGGGGGCTTTGGCTGGGCTCCCCCCGCCCCGCCCTCACCCTCCTGGGACATGGGAAGCAAAAGCCTGGTACCAAACGACATTGCAGGCACCTTGTGCGAAAATTACCAAGAATTTCAGAGTATGAAACCCAGCCCAGGGCACTGAGTGACCACACAGGCAAAGGACCCACAAGGCCAGCCCTGGTGGGAATGCAGGTGTCCCAGATGTCCTATGCAGGCAGGGCCTCACCTGTCCTGACGGTGTTTTGTGGCCAGTGCTCTGTGCAGTTCTTCGATCACGCGGCTGGGGGGCAGCGGCCGGTGGACAGTGGTGAGATGCGGAGACCCCGTGGGAGTGGAAATCTGTCCTCGGAGAGGTGGGTCCGTGCTCTTCATGCTGGGGCCTTGGAAGAGCGTGGCTTGGCCTGTGGCATGGGAGGAAGCACCAAGACGATCACGCTTCATGTGGGGGCCCTCCCCTGGCCGTGGGTCCCAACCCAGCTGGAAAAGCTGGACCAGGGTCCTGCTTCCTGAACAGAGACCAGAACGCACTTCTGCCCAGTTCCTTCTATCCACATGGCCATCCTGATGGGGACTGAGTCCTGGGACTTCAGAGATGCAGGGTCTTGGGCACAGACAAGGATCCTTTCAGCTTCTCTATGAGGAGTTATCTTCCTGAAACCACACGTTCTGATTGTTTTTTTGATGGTACTGGTTTTTTGGGGGTTTTTTGGCACCACTAGGATTTGAACTCAGCCTCACACTTGCTAGTCAGGTGCTCTTACCACTTGAGCCACTCCGCCAGGCCAAGCCACACTTTCTTTGTGTGGGACCAGAAGTATTTCCTGAACTCTGCAGTCATCCTTTAGCCCAGACAACCACCAGAGCTCCCTGCCCTCCCCACATCATCCATTCCTGTATGCCTCTGCTCCTGTCCCAGCACCTCAGCCATGGGGTCTTTCTAGAAAGCCATCCCATTATACCGCTGCTGTCTTCAGCCCTGCTCAGCTCCTGGCTTCATCTCTTCTCTGTCCCCACCTCGTTCTCTTGACTCCAGCATATGAAGATCTTTCTGGTCCTTGAAGGCACTGTCTCCATTCCGAGCCTTTGCACAGCTGAAATGCTCTCTCTTCCTCTGCTGCAAATCCCCTTACTCAGCAAGAACTTCTGTGAATCCCACCCTGGTCTAGAACCCCCGATATGTAGCCCCAATGACCGAGGCTGCCCCCACCCCTGCATCCTCTCCTCCCACTCAAGGGGAATGGCTCTCCTGGGCCGGCTTTCTCACCAATGGAGACAGGGACAGGCCCTGTCTACCTTTCTTGCTGAAGTGTCCCCAGGCTCTTAAAACTCATAAATAAACACTTATTTACATAAAGTGAACTTGAAAGTGACATGCTCTATCAAATCTAACGCCACCAGACTGCACTCCTTCCCTTGACAAATATTTCTGGAGTGTGGGCTACAAGGCTGCCCTGGGATTAGGTCCTCAGAGCTGCAGACAGCAGGGGTTCCATCTTATAGACTTGGCCTGTAGTCTCAATCTGCCACTTACCAGAGTGCAAGACCGCAGACTCCACCTCCTGTCTGTAAGATGAGCCACAGCTCCCTAGCACAGCTGGCCAGCAGGACCCAGGTGGTGGCTTGGGGTCCAGTATCCATTAGGGGTTCCCATACACACTCTCATCCCTATATGCACCTCAGCTAAGGCTGATGCAAACAAACCTGCTCTTTTAAAACTTGAGCAGGAAGAAAAAGAATCTAAGCCGCCCCCACTCCCTACAACATAGACACAAATTGTCCCAATACAACCTTGGGGCATGAACGGCATCAACAAAAAGCATCTCAAAAGTAGAAAGGAAACTGAGCATTCTGTCCTTTTGCTATCTTCATGAGCACCTGCTTCTGCCAGATGAATTGTGGCCATGGGCAAACAGGCCAGCCCTGTCCTCTACAAGTGGAGCCAGGTGGGGACCAAAAGAATCCAGAGAAAGAGAGAATGAGACATGTGGATGGTCTGGGAAAGCCAAGGGAGAGAGCAGGGCTTCTCTGCAGAGGGGAAAGTTAACTGAGGTTTCTCTGCAGAGGGGACAGTTAACTGAGACCTGAGGAAAAAGTAGGCGCCTGCAATGCAAGATGTGGTCAGGCAGGTCAGAATGAGGCAGGGGATCCATCTTCCATGGCCTCGGGTTTTCCTGGGGACAATCCCTGCTCCTAAGGGCGAACATATTCTTAGTACCCACCGGGCGTCCAGCATCCCCCAGCCCCCCCCTCTAACCAGCACTGCCTCCTCTTCTCACCTGCTCTAGGAGAAAAGCTGACCTGGTGTACCGATAGGGAAAACAAGGTACCCTCGCTCGCCTACACTCACTCATTGTGGTCCAGCTGGGGTTCCAACCATGGTACCTGCACCACAGTCGAGTGTAAATGTATCATCCCAGGACCACAAAACAAAAGCAAAAAGAAAACCAACAGTAGATACATCGCACAAGTGCCCCTTCCACCCCTCTGCTGAGAACTCTCCCACCACAGGTCAAGTGTGACTTATGGGCCTCTTACTGCCCTCACTTCTTTTTTCTTTGTACTAGGGTTTGAACTCAGGGCCTACACCTTGAGCCACTCTACCAGCCCTTTTCTGTGATGGATGTCTTTTTTGAGATAGGCTCTCACGAACTATTTGCCATGGCTGGCTTCAAACCATGATCCTCCTGATCTCTGCCTCCTGAGTAACTAGGATTACAGGTGTGAGCCACCAGCGCCCAGCCTGCTCCTGCTTCTGACAGGAGTAAACTGAGGCTCAGAGCCAGCTCAAGGGTGTGCTGCATGACCACAACTGTAGTTGACAGAGGCTGTGGTACCCACGCAAAAGACAGGGCTGTCACAGCAGGCCCAGGGCTGGGAGGGCTTCCAGGTGAGGGCCTGGGCAGGTGACACCTGGGGAGTCAGGAGCCCCTGGTTTCACAGGAAAGGGACGGGAGGGCAGAGAAGCCTCTGTCCACTTTGTCATGGCTCCCACAACTCAGGAAGGTGCCAGACATGAAGAGTTTTCAAAAAAGACCAGAAATCTGGCCCATGGACCAGGAAGCAGGCCCCTACCAGAAACTAATTCTATCAGCACTGCCTTGATATTGGACTTCCAACCTCCAGAACTAAATAACGAATACACTTATCTTAACAAACAAATCCCTGTTGTTTCTAAGCTGCAAGAAGGTGCCTCAGGTGGGGATGGATGTGCCTGAGTCCCTGTGCCAGGGAGCCAAGCCCAAGGCTGGGGTTTGTGCCATCTCTGTTGCCATCTAGTGACCACAGGTGGAAGGAACACTTCCCCAGAGGACAGGAAAAAGCCTGGAAAATGAAGGCAGCACCACCCAAATGCTGTGACTCAGCGGAGGCCTCAGTAACCGCATCCCTGTTCAGTCCCTCTCAGCTGGGTCATGTCAGAAAACACCTAAGGTCCTGAGTTCTTCCCACTATGGTGGCGGAAGACAGAGGTGTCCACAGACAGGCTGGGACAGACCCTGGGACCCAGAACTGAGGGTATGGACAGGGAAGTGTGTGCAGTCTGAGGCCTGAGCCTCCCAAGCATGGCAGAGTGAGAAAGCCCAGGGCTGCTAAGTGATGGAAAGTCAGAATAATAGGAGTTTGGACTTAACTGAATGGATTTTAAATTGCGTCAGGTTTCAACGGGTCAAAAGGGGAATTATCACAAAGATAGTAACAAAATACAAAAGAAGTGCTTAGCCTCAAGATTTTACTCTAATTTGTGTGGCCATATCACCCAAAGACTCAATTATTGAACTAATTTCCAGTGATGCAAAAAGCAGACAAACGGGGAAGAAATGGGTGAAACAATGTATGCAGATATGAATAAATAAGGAAAATAAAAGCAGACCGAGTTCAGGACATTCTTCATTCATTCATTCATTCATTCATTCATTCACTCTCTCATTCCATTACACAGTCACCTGCACTTGGTGAGCACCTGCTGTATGCCAAAGGTTACAGTGCATTCAGATCTGAAAGAGAATGCAGAGACCGGGTGCCGTCTAGGGGGTGGAGGCTGAGGAGGCAGACAAACCTACAGAAAGTGTATCTGGACTGCTGTGACACATGACCACAAACTGGGATGCTTCAGGGGGAGGACACCTCTCACAGATCTGGAGCGCTGACATCCAAAATCAAAGTGTGTTCAGGGTGGGCTCCTTCTGAAGACCATGAGGGAGAGACCATCCCAGGTACCCTCCTGACTTCTGGGACTGCCGGGCAAGTCACAGCACCCCGTCTTGTGAACACACCACTGTCTCTGTTTTCACACACTCTTCTCTGCATCCTTTTGTGTCTCTGTAGGAACATTCTCCTTGGATTCCCAGTCCATCCTGATCTGGGTTGTGCTCATCTGGACTGACTGTAATTGCCCCTGTGGCTCACACCTGTAATCCTAGCTACGCAGGAGGCAGAGATCAGGAGGATCGCGGTTTGAAGACAGCCTAAGGAAATAGTTCTCAAGATCCTATCTTGAAAAAAATGCATCACAAGAAAGGGCTGGTGGAGTGACTCAAGTGGTAGAGCGCCTGCCTAACAAGTGTGAAGCCTTGAGTTCAAACCCCAGGGCCACCACAAAAAAAAAAAGAGCACCTCTCGGTGACCAACATGCTTCTCCCTGAGACCTGTGGAGCTGCTTGTCCCCACCAGTAATGGGACAAGGAATAGCCAAGCTCAAAAAGCAAGCACCTACCTTCTGGAATTAGCCAGTGTGAGCAGAGCTGCTGATGTGCCACACGGGGTGGATGACGGGGTGGCTGATGCAGCACCTCTGCCATGCAGTGCCCCCTACCACCACCCTGGAGTCCTGAGCTTACTCCTGGCTCTGCCTTGCCGGAGGGAGCTTGGGGCAGAGGATCAGCCAAACCGAAGCCGGCAAGGAGAGGGCAAGGGACAGACTCAGAGTGAAGCAGAATTAGGACCAACAGGCATAGAAACACCCAGAAAGAGAGAGGACAAGCCCTGCCCCGAGGGCTGGCCACATCCCGTGGTCAGGGTCTGACTTCCGCAGAGAGACTGGAGGACCCTGAGCCAACATCAACAGCCCTTGCTGGGAACTCACCCCCTGGCTGCCAGTGCCCAAGCAAGACAGGATGAAGATACAGATGGACAGATGGAGGGAGGGAGGGATGGGGGGTTGAATGGATGGAAGGAGGGATGGACAGAAGGATGGACAGGAGGGCAGGAGGGAGGAAGAGGCTAAACGGTGCATGCAGACTCACCTGTGACAGTTTTTGTGGGTTTGCAGCTTGCCTTGGGTGGTGGGGTGGGCAGCAGCGGGGGACTGGGGAGATGGCCCGAGGATCTCTCCAGGGGTCTGGGAGGACAGTCCAGAGAGTCAGTGCCGGCTAAGGCTTCAGAGAGCTCATCAGTGGTGGGCAGGAGGCCGCCGGCGTCAGCTTCTTCCCCACAAGACGCAGATGGTATCTTGGCTGGTTCAAAGGCGAAACAGAGCAGTCACAAATGTTTCTGTGACTGTGTGGAGGTGAGTGAGTGAAGCCAGGGAGCTCTGATGGCATGGGACTGTTAACAGGGACAGGTGCGGATAGGTCCCTAGATACACAGCCGTGACAGCCCATGTGTTCAGTGGTCCAGAGAACCGTCAGAATGGAGAAAGGGAGTCTGTGAAGTCACTTGGAGCATGTCCACACCACAGCCCAGGCCCTGTCTCTGAGAGCAGTGGCATGGTGACGGGCTCTGGAGTCAGAGACACTAGGCTCAGGTTGCTTCTGTGCTCACTCTGTGACCTCGCTTAAGCTACTGAACCTCTCTGTGCCTCCATTTACTCATGGTGACCCTGTGTTAGTAACAACAACCTCTCACAGGATTATTTTTTTGGAAGTACTGGAGTTTGAACTCAGGGTCTCATATACTCTATCAGTCATGCCCCAACCCTTTTTTGCTTTAATTATTGTTCAGATAGGGTCTCACATTTTTTCCTGGACCAGCCTCAGACCTGGAGCCTCAACCTACATGCATAGCTGGGATTTCAGGTGTGCACCACCACACCAGGCTTGTTGGTGAGATGGGATCTCACTTTTTGACTAGGCTAGCCTTCAATTCTGATCCCCGCCCCCTAACTTCTACCCCCCCCCCAAGTATCTGAGATTACAGGTATGAGCCATTACACCTAGCCTCACTGGATTGTTTTGATGTAAACAAGAACTGACAACGAACTGAGTATCTGGCATATTGAGACCCTCACGTTAGCAGCAGTGGTTTTATCTGTGTGGGTTCCAGCAGCCCTGTCCCAGCCCTGTGAGGGGGCAGAGCAGGGAAGTAGGACTTCGGGAAGGGTCAGCATGGAAACCCTCATCCCCTTTTTCCTGCTGCTTGCTCAGACTCGGCCCCCTTCTTGAGCACTGCTGCCCCTCTCTGCTCTCTCCCAGTTCATCGGCCCTGTCCCTTCTTGCTGCGCTATTCACCCAGCTCAGGCTCTCCCATCTGCCATTTCCACACCCATCCCACCCATGCCCCAGATCCTTTGCCCAGATTTTTTGCACTGGAACACAAGGAAGTCCCATCTTTGGGTAAGGCCACTTCCCACATGCTCGTGCCCCTAAGTGCTGGAGAAGGCCAGTGATGTGTGGAGACACTCTTGGGACTGTCCTCCCCCAGGAGGGCCTGGCCCTCCCTCCTGCAGACAACTGCTTCCAACCACCCCCAGCCGCTCACCTCTCTCCTCCCTCCTGCAGCCTTACAGGGGAAGCTGAAGCCATCAGATCAGGACCCCTTTGATTCTTCATTCAGACAGAAACCTGTTGTGTCCCCCATTCCCCATCAAGAAAGGTGGTCTCCCTCCCTGGGGACTGGGCCCACTCATTCTTGGCCCTCTCAGCATCTAGCTGAGGTGCCCATAGAAGGCACATGGTACACAACCACTTAAGGAGGAAGATGCTCGCTCTCTGCTCCAGCTTGGCAGGCTGGTCCTTGTGTCAGCAGGCCCAGGATTCCTCCATCTCTGAATGTAAATGGGACCTGTGCCAGGCCTGCGCTGCCCGTGGTGCTGAAAACCAGCAAAGCCAGGGCAGGCTGGCTGCCCCCAGACCACCCAGCAAAACCTTAAATGCAAACAGCATCCTGGGAGCCTTCACTGGTTATTGTCTGTGTTGGAGTTTCAGTCTCAGGCCAGCCCTTTCCTGTGTCAAGCTCATGGACGTGTAGTCTCTGCCTCAGAGGGCTGGCCCTCCCCTCTCCTGAAGAACACATTCTCAGAAGTCGAGTGCAGAGGACAGACAGCCCTGGGTCACCAGCACAGTGTGAGCTGATGACCATTACAGAAGGCTGTGCACTCTTGTCCTGCATGGATCCACCTGGAAGTGCTGTGTTTATTTCCTTCTTATTATTTAAACTGCCCTCAAAGTGTTGTTAAATGGAGTTACTTTTTAGCCAGCTAGTCACTCACACCTGTAATACTAACTACTTAGTAGGCTGAGATTGGGAGGACTGCAGTTCAAGGTCAGCCTGGGTATAAGGTTTGCAAGATCTTATCTCAACAGAAAAACAAAAAGCTGGGCATGGTGGGGCATGCCTGTCATTCCAGCTACAGCATAAAATAGGAGGATCACAGCACAGGCCAGCCTGGGAAAAAAGGGAGACCCTCTCTCGAAAACAGCTAAAGTAAAAAGGGCTGAAGGTATGGCTCAAGCAGTAGAGCACCTCCCTAACCAGTGTGAAGTCCAGAGTTCAAATCTCAATACCACCAAAAAAAAAAATAGGAGTTCTTTTTTAAGACCTCTGGACTTTGAGACTGCCATGATGTGTAATGAACTGTAATGGATAACTTTTAAAGTCTACAATTCCAATAATTTTTGTCCTGATAATGCTAAAGTAAACATTTCATGTAAAAATAGTTGTGAAGCTTCCTTATTAAGCTAAAAGAGCATGGAAATTCTTTTCTCATGGGCATTTGTTCACTTTCTTGCCTCGTGTCAATCAGCACAGGACCAGGGACACCGTACCCCAGACCCCATGCACACAGCAGCTGAGCTCACAGCCACGAACACCAGGCATAGGGCACCCCAAGCTCCCAGTGCACATGGACTCATTTCCATCCTCAGAAGCTCTTGCCTACGGCTCCCGCCCCTCTTCAGACACCCACACATATATTATGGCAATAGCTGTGTGTGAGGTACATATAACACTACCCTAGAGGCCAAAAGGGACCCTTGCACCCACAGTCTGAGTTTGCACAGAGTCCTGCCCTGATTGCTTCTGGGCGAATGGGTTGTGTCCTCAGGGGAACCGGGCACCACACATGTTCCCAAACTCATGATTTGGGGAGAGGCAGAGTCACAGGGATAGCTCCCCTGGCCTTTCCCAGGGCAGTCTGTAGCACACGCTGTCTTTGGTGTGCTATTCCTGTTCCCAGACAAGCTCTCCACCTATCTGAGCCTCAGTTTCCTTATATATACAAATACCTGCAAAAACACCTGTCCCTGCCCACCACAGTTGGGGGCTGGCCTAAGGAGGGGTGTTGGGGTTTATGCAGCACTGGGATGACTGGCACCCTCATGTGCCACGGGGCAGAGGTGAGAGTGGTATGTTGGCACATGGATGGGTCTCCTCATTCAGGATGGGGCTCAGCAGTGTTGACGTCAGGATCTCATTACTTGTCCTGTGTAGTGGATGTTCACAGCAGTCTTGATCTCTAACCACCAGGTGCCAGTCACCATGTCCTAGTGTGACTCCACATCTTGTTCACACCACAGTCCAAATTCTCCAGCCATTGCCATATGTCCCCAAGAGAATCACTACTCTTTGACACAAGGTCTCACTATGTAGCCCAGACTGGCCTAGAACTCATGATCTTCCTGCCTCTACCTCTCAAGTGCTGGGATTACAGGTGTGAACTTCTATGCCTGGCTTGAGAACCACCACTCAAAGGAAACACTTTTAGATTTCTTAAGGGATGTGTGTCATGGTGAAGGTCGGCCCTGCATGAGCTCCACAGCCACAGTGTGATATGCTCTCATGGCATAAGCCTGGCCTGCGTAGTGGGAAGGTGGACAGGCCAGGTTTACCTTCTGGGACTCAGGCTCCTCCCAGGGACCTTGGAGTTGACATTTGAACTGGACTCACTGTGGCTATGTGGGATGTCACCAAGGGAAGGGCCGACAGGGAGACAGAGCAGCCTGGACTTGGAGTCCCAGGGCCAAGGTCAGCCACTGAGGTTGGCTGTATTCCATGCCAGAGCTTCATGGAAGATTTCACTAGAAAAGAACTGAGCCAGGCTTGCCCCACAGCCTGTGAGTACTCGGTAGACTGTCCGCCTTGCCTTGTATTACCAATTCCTCCATTTCTTCTGAACAGCAACGAGCCACCATCTGAAAACCAATCCAAACACTCCTGGCCTCAGGTATACCCAGCTTTAGCAACAATTCTCTGCTCCTTTGAAAAATGAACTTTTTTTCTTCTTTCAGTGTGACTGGGGTTTGAACTCAGGGCTTCGTGCGTACAAAGCGGGCACTCTACCACCTGAGCCACACCTCCAGTCCATTTTTCTCTGGTTATTTTGGAGATGCGGGGGGGCGGTCTTAGAACTATTTCCCAGGCTGGCCTCGAACCATGATTCTCCTGATCTCAGCCTCCCAAGTAGCTAAGAGTACAGGTGTGAGCCACAAATGCATTGCAGAAAAATAAATTAATTTTAAACAATGGCCAAAGCTGCATCTCTACTCCCTTCCGCATTGCCTATTCCTCCTCCCTCCCACCAGCGAGACCATGCCTGCCCTGCCTAGCCACTTACCTGATCTCCAACACTGTCCTTGTGGACTTTTGGACCTCACAATCCCCTGCTCAGAAACCTCGTGAGCTCTGCTCTCTGCACCTGTCTGATGCCCCTGGCTGCCCCAGGGCTTAGATCTTGGTCCTCCTCCCCACCCACCCTCTTACTCATCAGTCCTGCATCTAGCTCTCTGGCTCCAGAATTCACCTCATCTTTGTCAGACCTTGATCATTCCTCTGAGTTCTGGACTCATTTCATCAGCCACCCTGACATCCCCTCCTGGAGGTCAGTTAGGCATGATGAGACACCAGACCAGCTCTTGTCTTCACACGAGCCCTCTACCATCTGCCACCTGCTCTCACCTGTCCATCATCAATCCACCTTGCAAATATAACGGGCCTCCCTTGGAGTCTAGGCACTCTTCTATTAGCTGCAGTCAGGGCATGGGACAAAACACGTCCTCACCTTCACCAGGCTGAGTTCTACATGGCCCTCTACCACCAGCTATCCAGCCAGACTGGGTGTCCAATCCTCTCCATGCTGTCCGCCACCCATTACATACAACTCATGGACAAATCCTGTCAACTTCACTTCCAAAACTATTTCTCAGAAGCATCAACTTGTGCCCTGCCAGAACCCCTGCCAGAACCTCAGCGACAACCTCCAAGCCCCACCCTTGCCTCCCAGGAGATCCAAGTCCATTCTCTAGCTCAAGGAAGGGTTGGCAAACTTTTCTCATAGAGGGCCAGATGGTAAATGTTCTTACTGTGGATTATATGGTCTTTGTTACAATTATAGTTTTTGTTGGAAGGGAAAATTCTGGAAGGTTGCCAATATGGATGGCAAAATCCTCTTGACTCCACATTCATGTGGCCATGAGGCTACCTCTCACCCTCAGCACTGCCCGCTAGAATGGTCTCCTCTCCTACTAGCCACAAAAGGCCACTGAGTCACTAAGTGGCTACAGCAACCAGGGACCTCAAACTTTAATTTACTTCATTCTGATTGGTTTAAATACATGCATGGCTAGTGGTCACTCCACTGGACACTGTTCTAGATTCTCTGGGAGTGAGTCCAGGGTCCCAGTGCCACCTATCCAACCAGAGAGAGGACGATGGAGAGGCAGGCACTGGGCGCAGCACAGCAGACACCGCTGTTTGGTCTCCAGCTCACAATGCCAGCCCCTTAGGGCAGCACCTGATAACCATACAGACACAGGAAGTGGGTAGGACTGACCAGGAGCCTAGAGTTGGAGACTCCCATCCTAGACTTCAGAAACAACCCACACTCCAGAGGCAGAATGATGCCTTATCTCCTGCTTGACCCCAGTGTGGGTTGTGGAAGGCTGGGCTAAGCTCTAATTCTAGATTGGCTTAACCTTTCTGGCTCTGTTTCCTTACATTATTTTAAAGACATCTGTGTAATACGAAATGCTCTCAAGGCAAGGGATGGGGCCCAGATGTGACAGCCCCCTTGGGCACTGAGGTGCAGGATGTGGGATGAGAACAAGAGTGGACAACATCAGATCAACAGCTGGTCCTCCCTGAGCTCTGCAGGAGGATTGGGGAGACCTCACTGTGGCCTCAGGCTTCAAGCCCAAACCCAAAATAACCACCTCATCATGTAAGAAAGGGCCCCAAAGCAGGAGGCCAAAAGCTGGGAACACAGAGTTGGCTCCTAAACCAGGCACTTCACCGTCACAGAAGGGGTCACAACCTGCACACACATACACACACGACCAGGAAGTCCCCACAGATGACGCTCATCTGCAGAGAGGGCTGCTACTTCAGTCAGCAACTGTGGCTTGCTGGGTGGCTGCAGGGGCCCAGTGAGCTTCAACTTCAAGGGTTGAAAACAACCTGCACACCTGGATTTTTTGTGAATGTTTTCAAACTATCTTTTAAACATTTTTTTTAAAGGTTGGTTTGCAGTTTTCTTCAACAGCGAATCTAATACCTTGTGTTACATGGCAACCTGCCTCTCACCAAAGGGTGAGGCTTCTAAGGCAGACCCAGGATCTGCAGGGCAGGACAAGGCATCAGGTTTGTCCCAGCTCAGTCTGTTGCATGCTATGCAAGCACTCTACCATGTGAGCCACACCCCCAGGAAGAAGCAGTTTGTTTCCTTGCAATGCTGGGGTTCGAACCCAGAGGCTTATGCACACCAGGCAAGTACTGTACCACTGAGCTACATCCCCAGCCCTGTCCCAGCCTAATAGCAAAATGCAGGTAGTTCCACACCGTAGAACACATGTGCCACCAGAGGCATGGCCGCTGAGCAGCATCGAGGCAGCCAGAGATGGGATATCAATGCATCACTCTCCAGAGCTGCTCTGGACCATGACAACAACGATGACAGCAATGAGGGCCTGCCAGTAATAACAAGTACTTTCTGAGTGTTCAGCGTGCATTAGGACAGAGCTAAGTGCTTCCTGGGGATCACCCAATTCAACTTTAGCAAACCTGAGAGGTTAGTGTGATCAGAAATAAGCTCAGAGAGATTAGGTGACTTGTTTCTGATCACACAACTTAGTGAGGAGTTCAGTCACCTACAACCCCAGGTCAGCCTGATGTCAGAGACGTTGTACTCAGTGTCACTCTCTGTCTCTGGAGTTGCTACTCAGCTGTGTGTCTCCCCTTCCTTATGGGAAGCACTCATCTCCTGGAGCTGTTTCCAGGTAAACAAGCAAATGCACCTGCAGCACTTGGTATGGTACCTGAAGCACCTGGTGCAGCACCCACAGCACTTGGTAGGCAGCTGAAGCACCCACAGCACTCCACATCCACATGCTAGACAATCATGTTGGCTCTTCTTTTTGTCCTTCCCAGATAAGTACCACTAGTTGAGAATAAGCCAATTGCAGATGTCCCTAAGGAATGAGCCATCTCTCTCAGAAGCCAAACCAGGTATCTCGGTCCTGCTTTGGAGACTGTGGACACTGCTGTGCACTCTTTGATTTTGTTTGGTATATTTTACTGAAAGTGAACTCACACTTTTAGTTTCATGTATTTGTAGGAAAATCTCTCTCAAGACCCTGGGAAAGAAATACATACCACTTGCATTAATTAATGAAAACACAGCACTATTAAAATATTTTCTACTTGTTTGTTCATGTGCCACCCACGGGAGGTTATCTTATATCCCCAGGGACTCAGGAGACATGCAGAGCAGCCAGGGAGGGAGAAGACTGCACCCTGTACCCTCACACTGGCTGTTACTTTTCTATAGGTGAGTCCACTGGTGCTCTATCCCAGGGCTCGACTGCTCCCTAGGAAGGCTGCCCAGGCCCTGGAGTCCTCCCTGACCCAGCACCTCTGCATTCCATCCCAACTCCTACCATGCTTGATCAACTTCAGCTGAGCCAAAGCCCCCAGTTTTACTGGCTCTTTGGCCAACTAAGGCCACCAGCCCAACCTGGGTGTCATTTCAGGAAAGCCTCACTGGCCTGCACCATACACTTTCATTCCCACATTACTTGTGGCTGCTTTTGTGCAGCAAGTACAGAACTGGCGGGTGCTACCAGATGCCCCTGGTCCAGGGCCATTAGTACTTTCTTTCCATCCTTTCACCAAATAAGTCAGCCATCCTGCCCTCAATCTGTGTGTGTGCTGGTCCCCAGCTGGCTTCTGCTCACTCTGCATCTGCCAGGAGAAAGTCTTCCTTCCTAAGTTCTGACCTCAAAAGACCAACTCTGCTCCCAGGAGTCCATCCCCAAGCCACACAGCTGGAGGGTGTGAACCAGGTCAGAAGGGGCCATTGAAGGGAGCTGCCACCTTCCTCCTTGGAGCTGAGTGACCAGAAAGAACTGCCAAGAAGCAAGAGCCACCTGCAAGAGCCAAGGAGCAGTGTCCCAGCCACATGGAAGGCTCAGAGGTCAAGTGCAAGGGCTTGCTAGCTGCAGAGACCACAGGAGGAGACCCTGCTTATAGTCATCATAACCACACCAGCCACTGCCCCATGAGATCAGCTGTGTCCCAAGGGGATACAGGAGGGCCAAGAGGACCTCTGTGTGGCAGCTGGGACTGCCCCTGGGGCCACAGCTCTACAGACTTCAAATTCTCTTTGCATCCCCTAAGCCAAGTCAGAGAGGAGAGGCACAGCCACCTCGTGGGCAGAGCACACCCCAGGCAGCTGCCTGTCAGTACAGTAGGGAGGCTGCATGCAGGCCTCTGGCAAAGAGCAGTGGTGCAACCCTGGTTTGGTAGAAGGACATGCCAGAGAACTGAGGACCACCAATCTCTGAAACGGAAGTCCAGAAGGCCCATTCCCACTGCTTGGATTCCTGGTCTCCCACACCTAGAGACATACAGAGCTCACACTCCAGTCCCCAAACTGTGCACAACAGGATGTTTGGCTTGAGCTTGTATAAGAAGACAGGTTCCCAGCACTACAGTGAAGTCTCAGAAAACTGCTTAAAATGGCTAGTGGGTCAGACAGGAGTGGGAGTGTCTCAAACCCCCACAGGGGCTCAGTTTGTGCTTTTCTTCTTCTCTATCCCTCCCCTCTTCCATATACAGCTGGCAAGTGCCCTGTGTGCAATTAAAGTAAAAGCCACTACCCCTGGCCTCACTGCTGCACCTGGGTTGCTACCCAGGCCGATGGCCATTCCAGAAGCAGGTGAGCCCCACAGGGTGTCCAGCTATTACCTGCATCATCCAAATGGACATCTGAGGACAGCGGCTCATCCATGGAGGCCTGGTCTGTCCTGGTGGCTGAGGGGCTTCCTGGCTGGACATCTTCCGACGTCAGTGTCTCCTGCTTGGCAGTGGACTGCTCGCTCTGTGCAGGTCGGGGGCCTCCATCCGGGCCACATGGTTTGTTTTCAGCATCTGCAAGAAAATTAGAATGTCAGCCAGGGTACACCTCCCTTCCCACACCCTTCATTGACAGCAAGGGCCTTCCTATGAAGTGTGCCGCCCAGGGCCTGGTGTGGCAGCTGTCACTCCTGCCCCCAGGAGTTCCTCTCCACATCCCGTGCTCCCATACGAATGCTGGCACCCTACAAAACGGGCTCCTGGTTTCTGCCATATGTACTCTTACTCCAACACCTGCTGGAGATGGGATGGTGCTCCCCACCCCATTCCTTTGCAGTCCCCCGCTGTGGTCCTGCCTCTGCCTTGTGGCTTGCTTTGGTCCATGGATGGCAGCAGATCTGATGCAGAAGTGGCTTTAGACTGCTCACATCTGCCCATTTGCTCCCTCCTGGGCCTCGATCCTCACGCTGACAGTGGTGAGGATCCAGCTCCACCAGAGCTGCTGGTGGACAAAAGACACAGGAGCAGAGCCAGGGCCAACACAAGTGGGTGGCAACAAACACAAACAGCACAAGTGGATGCTGCTAGTCCCCAAGATGCTGAGGCTGTCACATGCATTAGTGTGGCTGCAGGTAACGAGTTTTCACACTGGGCTCACCCTTAGGCCATCAGTCACTCACGAAGCAAACAGTCAGTGACCATCTACTATGCACCTGGTACTGAGCAGCCTGGGGAAGGCAGATGTCAAGAAGACACTGTCCCTGCTACTCCCCAAGGAAGCCATGGGGATGGCATCTTGAGCCCAGGAATAGGGCTAGGCCAAGGACAGAGGGGCAAAGAGCAGGGAGTCCCCAGGCCCAGGCAGCAGCCTTCTGAGGAGGGGGACACCAAGGTTCTCAGGAGGACTTAAGGACCTGGCACTTTGACTTGCCTGGGGCTGGGCTGCTGCAGCCTCTGGGACTTAACTGATCCTCTCCAGGTGGCACTGTCACAATGAGAGGCTCAGCCCCCAGGATGCAGGAAGGCTGCTCCAGTCACAGCTACACAGGACAGGAGGCCTAGGCTTGGGACACTAAGCTATCTCATCATAATCACCCTTCTGAGATGCATGTCTAAGTCTGATGCACGAGCACCCATGAGGTCCTCTACATGGACCCCTCATGCTGGTTCATGGAAGCATACCTCAGGGTTCAGAGTAACAGCATGGCCTGCACACATCTGCACAGTCACAGGTCTCCTGGACCTGGCCTCCCCTGTGCTGTCTCTCAGCCCAGAGAGGGAGGAAGATGGTCAGAGTGCCCCTTTGCCCAGGTCAGTCCTGACTTCCACCTGCTGCCCTGTGTCCTCCAGGACCACCCATTTCACTTCCCCAGATGCGCCAGTTGGACAAAAAGCACATCCCCTGCCTGACAGGTATCCCACCCACTTGCAAAGGGGTTTCCTGTGCCACCAGCAAACCCCTCTGGGCCTCGACTTGCTCATCTATAAATGGGTCGATGTTACTCCTGGCCTGTGGCTTTCTTGTGAGAAGTATTAGAAGGAAAGATGTGTCTAGAATAGTGCAATGCTCCAGACGTGCTTGCTGTCACTGATGACGGTGGGCTCTGATAAGGAGAAAGATGACAGGGGACCCAGCCACTGGCCCATGGTCCAACAGGAGGCTTAGAACAGGAACTTTTCCTTCCTCAACAGAGTTCTTCCCAGGCCCAGGACTCTGGCCAGCCCCCCTTCTTTCCTGGGCCTCTTGGGGAATCTGAGCTTGTCACTGCTCACCATCTCCCCTCTCCCTGCCACTGCACCTCTATCTCCGCAGGGGAGAACAAAAAGATCAGCCCTGCTAGAAGTCTGGAGACCTGCCACAGGGACCGGCTCTGCTGGGAGTCACACTGCCTGCCCAGAGATCTCGGGGAGGCCAGTGACCTCTTCCCATGAAGGAGGCAATGGCAAATATTCCAGATTTAGTGGCCCATCACCACTAGTCTGTGCTGCTTGTCCCCGCTTCCTTTTGTTTTGTTTGTTTGTCTGATGGGGGAGATGGCACTGGAATTTGAACTTAAGGCTTTGCGCTTGCTAGGCAGGTGCTCTATTGCTTGAGTCATACCTCCAGTGGCTCTTTTTGCTCTGGTTATTTTTAGAGATAGGGTCTTGCTTTCTGCCCAGGCCAGCCTAGACTACCATCCTACTTTATACTTCCCACTAAAATTGTGATGACAGTTGTGTGCCACCATGCCCAGGTTTGTCTGTTGAGACAGTGTCTTGAGAAGTCCCCTCTTCCCCCACCTTCCACCCAGGGTTGGCCTAGAACCCTGATCCTCCCAATCTCAATCTCCCAAGTAGCTGGGATGACAGGCCCACCCACTTTGTTTTACTTTTATAAAAGCATAGAACATTCTTAGCTCAGAGGCTACAGGCAGTCAGGTCTTGGTCTGCACTGAACTCCTGGCTCTTCCTGTCGACTCCGCCCTGGGCCAGGCAGGGACCCAGATACAGCCAAGGGGCTCATTTGGGGAGAGGATTTGATGTCACAAAGCTCAAAACTAGCTTCCCAGCTTCCATGACTGGATTGCCCAAACCTGACACACCATTGTGACAGTTTCCACTGCCAGCCTCCATGCCCTAGGGCAGGGCAAAATATAGAACTTTTTTTTTTTTTTCTGGAGCTACTGTCCTAGAGTCATGTTCAATGGCCTGGGAGTCACAGGGCTCTGAGGGAAATCAGACAGTGACAAATCAAGTCTGTCTGGTTTCCCTGCGGTAGCAACACCAGGGCCATGTGTGCACACATATCAATGTGTACATCTATGTGTACACATGCAGATACATGCATGCATACTGCATGGGGTACTATGCATGTTTTCTTTGTGCTAGTGTGTGCGTGTTTATGTGCTCACGTGCATGTCTGTGACAGGCCCTCTTGCTGTGGCTGCTCAGTGAACCACTAAGCAGGAAAGGTCACCGCACAGAAGGAACATGAAAGCCATTGCTACCAGGGTGCATGTGCTCTATCAGAGACGGGTGAACACAGGGCAAGCCCTGTCTCACCCGAGCTCCTCCACCACCCTGTGTGAGGCAGGCAACTGCCTAGCACTTCCTGCTGTGCCCGCGGCTATGATTAATCACATCTCCATCGTCTCACCTCCATCACCTCCACCATCAGCATCATAGCATCAGGAATAAAATGGTCACAACCTGGAGCCAACGATCAGAGGGCTCCAGCCCCACAAGTCTCAGCTTGCACCTGTAGTCCTAAAATTCCTTTCCCTGTGTCTGCAGCCTGGCAGCCTAGCAGGGCTGTTCTGGGCTCCGCTCAGAGCTCCAGCCCAGAATCATGCTAGCAAGTAGTTACTGTTCCCAAAATAGCCCTGGTGGCAGGGCCGTTGCTAAGAAACAGTGATTGGGGCCTGGGGGTGGGGGTGTGAGTGGGGGGCTCATGCCCTGCTCCTCTCTCTACATGGCCGGCTGGCCTCCCTCTGGCCAGCTCTCCATCCTGCCCTTCTCCTCTGAGGGCTTGCAGAGGGGAGCACAGAGCAGCCACAGTGAGAGGCCTGCCATAGGCATGCAAATGACCACACACACACATGTACAGTGGAAGCACATGTGTGTGTGTGCCATGCAGTGCATGTGCACATGCACATCTATGTGCACACATGGCCCCCAGCATTGCTACCACATGGAAACCAGACAGACTTATCCCTGTCCAATTCCCCTGGGACCCTCATGACTCCCAGGTCACTGAACAGAGCACCAGGTAGTAGCTCCCCCTTTTATGATGGGATATGAATTTCCTCAAATTATTTAAGAAAATGCAAAGTCAAGGCACCCAGGGAAATGGAAGAAAGTCATTCGGGGCGGTGAGCAATGTTGCACAGAGAAGCAAGCAGGTCCTGTCCCCACTCACTGAGGTGGTCTAAGGACCCAGTGGGGGGCCAGAGAAGCTGGTTTGCTCTCCATGGACCCAGATGTTTGGGGGGGGAAGGTGGACAGAGGAGAGGGAACAGAGTGGGAAAGGCCACCTTCTCTCCTTCCCACAGTGCACTGTCCTATAATGTCACAAACTGGATGTCTCCTACACCCCCACCAGATGACCACAAGTGCAGGGACACGCATGTGAGTTCTTGGAGCTGTGAAGGATGCCCAGCAGTTCTGGGAGGGGCTGTGGCCAGGTATCCTCACTGTCACCATCCTCCTGCAGCCTCCCTGGGAAGTCCTGGCCAAGGTACAGCAGGCTCAGTGAGGGCAGTGGACCACAAGAGGGCGCCCATGGTTGCGGACTGGTTCCACCTGGCAGGAGAAGGCAGAAGCTGAGCCTGATTCCTTAACCCAAACCCAGGAGACTCTGCTACCCTGGGGAGTGCTCACAGCCACAGGAAAGGGGAAGGCACTGTTTCCACATGGAGTCAGCCCTCCTGTTCCACCCCTTCTGGGCCTTAGGCCTCCCTGACCTACACAGGAGTGGCTGCAAGGACAGTGACCACAGATTCCAGTCACGATGGAAGACGATCCCAGTTCTCCCAGCACCTAGATGAACTGGGACAGGCAGGGTCTGACCTCAGTGCACCTGGACCTGCTGCAAAGGAAGCACTTTCTCCAGGAACCTACAGCCAGCATTGGCATTTATCTTATTATGACTGCAAAACCGCACAGCAGTCCACCAGAAAATTGGCAAGTCTCCCCAGAGGTAATTCCTGTGGCCCCCTTCCCTTCCGAAGTGGCCCTGCAGACACCCAACCTTGCTCTGGACCAAGGCGAGCTCTCTGCAGACACTGGACTCCTCCACTTGGCCAAGCCTCTGTCACCCAGATGGTGGCGTTATAGGGCCTCTTGCACCTAGGCCCCTCTCTCCCCTCGCTTCCCTCCAACCCCACACCTTCTCTAGGTCCCTTCATGGAGCACCACGACCCCACTCCCCCGACTCTGGGGCCTTGCACTTACAGCTCCCCCGAGCTAGAAGTCACTTCCCACTGCTGGATCTCTCTGCTTCTCATCCTGGCATGCGTTGCTTATCAAATACACCTGTATTGCCCAACCCCAGTGGCTAATTTCTCTGCTGCCCAATAGCAGTGCGGTTAAAGCTCCTAAGTATGGCTCCTAAGTTTGAGCCTCAGCACCAAAGAAAAGCAAAGCTACCAAGTGATCTGAGTGAGTGCCAAACTCTGACAACAGCCTGTGCCTCTGACAATAGCCTCTGCTCCTGCCTACCTTTGGTCCCCACTCAAACATCTCCTGCACCCTCGACCAGCCAGCCCCACGTGGCCACCTGCCTTTCCTTCACTATCCCCGTATTAGGTGTCAATTGACGTTTGTGGAGCTCCCTAGTGCTGTGCCTCACAGGCTTTGTGTTGTGGGAGAATATCTTGCTCACCTGTGTCCTTAGCAACTAACACGGGCCCTGGCATGCAGTAGACACTCAATAAAATATTGAGCCATCAATCAATGAGTGTATGTTCAGCTCTCAGGGATGAGTGGCCCGTAACCACTCAGCAAGAGAGAAAGAGCCATGTGAGGGAACTTACCACCCGGGGACCCACTCCAGCCTGCTTCATGTGGCCGCGAGCTAAGAATGGCTTTCTCATCTTTAAGTGGGAAAATATCAAAGGAAAAGTAATTTTCATAGCTCATGAAAATTATTTGAAATTCAAATTGATACATCCATAAACAAAGTTTTATTGGAACACGGCCATATGTCCACTCAGTAGGCATTGTCTGTGGCCATTTCTGCCTCAGAACATCAGGTGACAAACTGTCAGACCTTGTTATGCTTTGTCCTCTCATCCCAGCTGCTCAGGCGGGACTCTGATGGCCAAAGTCATAGGTCAATGGTATTTGGACGGTGGAGGTGTAACATGACGGTGGTGTTAGAGGGGGGCCTTCAGAGGTGACTATGGTTACATAAGGTCATCAGGATAGAGCCCCATTTCTGAATCCTGGTGGCTCTGTAAAAGGAGGGAGGGAACAGACAGTCACACAGACACTGGCAGGCTTGCCTCCTGTGGCTCATGACACATAATGCTAAATACTGCCTCAGAACACTGCCTGCAAGAAGGCCAGGCCTGAGAAGTGAAAACAGGCAGACCTGAACAGAGTGTATGCTCGTACCATGCCCTTGAATATCCACAACTTCTCTTCTCTATAGTGAGCCCGCCTCAGGTATCTCACTAAGGTAGGGCTGAGTCACACAGTCAGACACCTAGGGTATTTACTATGTGACTCTTCCAGGAAAGGCTGGCCAACCCCCACCCTACAGCAACAGTGCAAGCCAGCTGGCCTGTGACTTCTCTAGAGAGCACATGGAGGCCAGGAAGACATCCCTCCATAGCGAGACATGTGTCCCCTGCTGGCCTGGCCATTGCCAAACACTGTCACAGGCCTCTATTCTGACCTCACCCCACGAAAATCATTTTTAAAAAATCAGTTGAAAACAACCACCTGTACTCTTCCTATAAGCTTTTTTCTCCCATTTTTCAAACTATAGCTTCATTTTGACAGAAATCCAATCTACATCTTTACTTCCTCCTTATTCATCAAAAATAACATTTTTTAAAGCTGGGAGCAGGGATGGACGCCTGTTATCCCAGCTATGCTGGAGGCTGAGATTGGAAAGTTTGAGGTTCTAGGCCAGCGTGGGCAAAAAGTTTGCAAGTCCCCATCTGCACAGACAAAAACTGGTGCACCTGTCACCCCAGCTATGGCAGGAAACATAAATAGGAGGATCGAGGTCCAGGTCAGCCAGGGCAAAAAGCGAGACCCTCTCTCCAAAATAGCCAGAGCAAAGGGCGAAAGGCATGGGTCAAGTGATAAAGCCCTGAGTTCTAAACCCCAGTCCACCCCACTCCCAAATAATTATTTTTTAGAATATGTGATTGCTTTTATCACCCCCTCCTCTAAAATCTAGAGTGAAACCTGTTGACAATGTAATCATCATCCCACTTAGGCATTTTTTGGTCGCATCTGAATCAAAACAGTCCAGCTTTCAAGCCAGCAGTGACATTCCACCAACTCTGAGAGTCAGAAGACAGCATCCAACATAAAAATGCCACAGGACGTGACACCAAGCTTTTCTTTTACACCGGAAATAAACTTAGTGTATGAAGCCAGTTCCCTCATGCTAGCATTGTTAAAACACACCACTACGAACCCAAGGAAGGGAGAAGCCAACATAGGGCTTGGGCCACACCAGGTTGTAAGCAACCAGCCTGGCTGCATAAACTGGGTTCATTTACTTCAGGGTCTTTCTTCTTAACTCCTGGTACTTACGACCCATTACAAAGGAACCAGCAATATTTTCAAGCAGAAAAGGGAGACAGGAATTCAACATATTCCTCAGATCTTTGGCTCCACAAAGCCAGACACCTGAGATCAGGAAGTAGGAGCCCAGTCTAGATCAGACAGCCTCCTAAGGGCATCCCATCACCACGCTCCAAAACCAGAGAGAACTGGAGAGCAGGGAGGGGCAATGCCAGCATCCAGGTCTAGTGCCCCACACTGACTGGAACCCCTTACAGAAAGAGCACCACTAATTTTGCTGGTGATCATGACCAGCCTCATGCACAGAGACGGTCACGTAGATGTGGCAGAGAATGAATGGCAGGCTCTCCCCACACCCACCCTGTTGGACATTGACTAGAAGAAGGGGATCAGTCCCAGGGATGAGGTGGCCCCCACTCATGGATGGACACTCCAACACCTCAGTTCCTGCCTCTAGGGCATCTCTCCAACCTTGGAGGCTGAGTTGGGTCCAGCTCCCCCATTTGGCTACAGAACGCCCCTGACTGCCATCCCATTCTCTGATATGTTTCCCAGACTCTGTAACCTAGGCGTGCCCCTCCCGATGTCCCCGTCCTCCCTCTGTGTCCCCACTTACCCTGCTCCATCATCTCCAGAAGCCCCTGTTTGATGAGTTCCTCCCGGCCCTGCCTGCCAGCCATCTTCTTCTCCAGCGCTGTACAACACACAAACGTCCAGGTGAGTCACGGCCACAGGAAGCGTGGGCCCCGCCAAAGCATAGCAATGCCTGTCTCAGGTTTACAGGAACAGTCGGGGAGTTGGTAGGCACTCGAGGTAAGGGCCTGACCCACTGATGGGGAGTGGTGGGGGCACAATTTTCTCAGCAATTTTGAACTTTCTTGCTAAGCAATGCACATATCACCAGCCACAGACAAGCAGGTTCAGGGTTTTTTGAAGCAATCATTTCTGAGTTATCTGCACAGCACCTGTGCATACAGTGCCCGAATAGCTGTTCTCAGATAGCCAAGGAGGGCATCCTCCCCGTGCCCCCAGGGCTTTGGGGCACTCTTCCACAGCTCAGGCCAGCCGTCATGACTCCATCCACCTGCCCTTCATGTCTAGTCACTGTCTTTGGTCTATCTCTCCCCTGTCTCCCCAACCAACCTTGGGTCAACAGTGGCACTCAGCAAATTCCCCAGGGGCAGGGAGGCAGAAGGCCAGTTACTTTGCCGTTCCATATACTCTGACTTGCAAATTGTGTCCATTCCTCCTTTGGAACAGCCCTCCTGCCTACCACCCCAGGGCAAAACCCACTCCAGGAACCTACCAGAGCTTAGTGTCTGGCAGAGGGGGCAGGTAACCAACAGGTGGCAACCACAGACAAGTCTTTTCTGGCCACCTATTGTGTCCCATGTACTGAGCTAGGTGCTGGGACCTCTGCGAACAAAAGCAATCCAGTCCCCACCTTCATGGAACGTGTGAGCTAGGGGCCAGTGCAATGACAAGTACCCCATGGATTAACTCTGAGAATGAGCAAAGAAATTCAGTGCTATTCACTAAATTTCCAAATACACGAACCAGGGGCCTGAAGACAGGGACGCTGAGCTGTCAACCTCGAGATCCACCCCACCCTTCCAGAGCATGAGGCTCAATCTTCCAGTCCCACAACCAAGGGCATTGAGTCTTCCGAGAGTCGGGGGCCCATAAAGGGTTGCTGAGGCCTCCTGCTCCAGTTTCCAGATTTCCCACCTAGCACAGCTACCCTCCCCCAAGTCAGCACCTCTGCAAGGGCTGCTCCCACTGCTGGGATGCATCTCCCTGCCTTTCTCAAGGATGCCAGTCACAGCTCAGCTCAATGTGGCCTCTTTGCCCCTAGGCCTTTGCACCTCCCCATCCAAAGCCACACCTGTCCCAGCCCATTTCTTCCCCAGGACCTGTTCAGCTTCTTCACAGCCAGATGGAGTCTGTGCTGGACTTAGGTGCATAGTGACTTGTTCACCTGTTTTCCTGCTCAGGTAGCCACTGCATTCCTGCTGTATGGCAGGTCCACATGAGCAGGGTCTGGGCTCCTGTCTGCTTTGTGCTTGGCACATAGGACATGCTTGGGCGTTCTTGAATAATTATGCTGCATTGTTTTCATACTTGACAAGGAGGATGTGCCAGTCACTTTCTTGAATGGTTAAAAACAGAATATCCCAGAGTGTACAGAAGTGTGAATGGGACAGAAGTGTGAGTGGGAAACCACTGCTGCTGTCCAATCCCACAGAGCCAGATACTGTGGGCACATGAGCTTTGTCCCCACCTTCCTCAAAGCCCTGGAGCCTGGGTCTATTAGGAGCTGGGAAGGAAGCTGGGACCTTGGGGACCACAAAGACACCAACTCAAGGCAGGCAATTGCCGGGCCTGTCCCTGAGGCCCCCAGCTAATTCCACGTGAGCAGCTGCCTCACTAACTGCTTCGAAAACTCTGGGGGCTGGGCCACTTGGCACCCTGGGGTTGGCTTCTGGGGACACCAGGCCTGTTACATAGCCCAGAACTGTAAGCCAGGCCAGCTCCTCTCCAGTTGCTATCTGGCCCTGGGTGAGCAGCCCCACTTCTCTGAGCGTTTCCCTTCCCTAAGGTGGGAAGGACCCTATAGGATCGCTGAACCCCAGGGAGATACACAACTGCCCAGTGCTGCCAGCCAGGCCTGCTGACACCTGCTATTCTGACCTGACCTTCTGGTCATTTTCATGCCCATCCTGCCACAGTGCAGTCTTGTGGCCGCCGTTCCCGTGGTGGATTCCGAGGAGGCCGGGCCAATGGGACAACCCGGCGTAACCCAACTTCTCACAGAGCTGGGACTGGCAGGGTGTAAGGCTGTAGCCGAAGTGAGTAGGGAAGCTTCTGGATCCTTTGGTGGGAGATGTTAAGCCAGGCATGCTTAGGTAGAGCTAGGAGCTGGGAAGCAGGCTACCTGTCTTCTTCCTACAAAAAGAATGGCCTGAAGGTGTCTAGGCCAAACTGAGGGGGGCTCCTAGGAGCAGCGAGAGCCAGGTCCTAACCTCCTTGTTGGAGTGAGTTTCCAGGGGGGGAGGTGAGGACCAGTGAGTTGTCATGGGCTGGGTGCTTGCTGCTGGCTGCATCCAGAGTATCACAGCCGGGCCAGGCACTGAGCCACAGCCTGTTGTTAACAAGGCCCCAGGTGACTTGTGTGCTCCCTAGATTTGGGCAGTGCCCTGTGCTGACCACCACCAGTCAGGTGGCGCAAGAGGGAGGCTGGTCCTCAGAGGCCACAGAGCACAGCGTGTCCTCCAGTGTCGGGGCTGGGAGACAGATCAGGGCAGCAGTGACACCACCATCCTCAGCCAGGGCCACCCTCCTCTCCTGAGTGCTTACCCGACGTCGTCTGCTTCAGCTTCTCGTTTTTCTTTTTCCTCCATTTCCAGGGCTTGAAGATCCTGCCCAGAGTGGCCAGCCTGCTGTTTCTCCTCACAGGGGGAGTTCGGATCCCTGAGACCTGATACTCAGAGCGTGCTGGGGGGCCCTGGTCCATTTCATCTGCAAGATGAGAACCCAGGGAGGGTCTCAAGTGACCACCAAACCTCCTGGCTTGCAGGGATCTAGGTGACCTCCTCACCCCATGGGGCCAGCAATGACGTCACAAAGGTTGGCGCCCAAGACGGACATCTGAGTGGTAGATGCTCTCTGGGGCCTCTTCTGACCAAGATGCATGCATGGGGTAGCAGCCTGTTTATGAGCAGGTGGGCTGTACCTCCATCGATGGAGACCCTCCTTCCATAACCTCTCATAGCCCACAGCAGCCCTCACCCAATCCTGCCTCCCTCCATGCTATCTCCATGATGAAATGTTCCCTGCCCCAGGATCTTTGTCCACGTTGTGCCTGCCACCCATGCTTCCTTCCCTCCCAGCTTTCCTCTGCCTTGTAAACCATCCATTCAGGGAGTGTTCACCTGCCTTCAGTCCCAGGCGGGGTCAGGCCTTTGCCTTATGCTCCCAAGCCCACTTGCACAGGTGCCAAGGAACTGCAAAACAGCCTGCACTCCCATCAGCTATCCCTATCACCCCTCCGAGGGCAGAGAACAAGCCTGGCACAGCTGTGGAGACCAGAGCAACCCTGCCCACTACACTGCTACCACACAGCTGCTTAGTGAACCTGTCCATGAGTACACAAAAGCACTGGCCCTGGTGTGTGTCCCCTCCTTGGTGAGACTAGGCAATGTGGTACATTCTGTGGGACACGTGCAGACAGATGTCCCAGGAAGCTCCAGGCAGTGGGTTCCTCATGCAAGGGACCAGTAGCAAGCTGCAAGTGCATGAGAAGGGGACTGGCTGGGATAGCATCCCTCCTCTCACCAACCTGGGGGCAGACGTGGGAGAAAAATCAAGCAGAGCTGTGTGTACAGTGGGACACACACCTGAGTGACCTGCCAAGCCAAACACCAAGTGTGCAATCTCCCATCATCCACACAGGAGTGCGCGCAGGGCCTGTGTGCTGGCCCATGTTGGTGAACGCAAAGGACATGTCTGTGTCCCCAGAGGGGAACAATGGTTGTGGGACAAGAAATACTTCACCATAGGTGGCTGCTTTGTGGCATGTGACATGTCTGACTTTGTAATGGGTTTGGGTAGAATAGAAAACAAAGTTCAACTGACAAGATGATGAAGTCGGAGAACTGCACGAAGCAGACAAGCACCACCTCTGTGCCTTCACCCTGGACCCCACCGATAGCCACAGTTTAGAGCAGAGTTCAGTCCACCACCATGCAGGACCTTCCATGGGACAGGGATGGGGTGTTCAGGCCATCAGACTCAACCACCCCACATCACTAGGTTGGGAGCTCGTAGGCCTGTAGCTGAGCGAAGGCCTGAGCCAGGACCCCTCCACGAGGCACCTCGAAGCCTCCCATAGCCAGTGAACATCCCACTCCACCTCTTCATTGTCACCTGTGAAAAGGGGAGGGGATTCCTGGCCCAAACAGATTCCAGAGTCCCAAGGAGACCCAGAGAGGACCAAGCAGCAGGGATGGATGGGTGCCCAACAAGAGGTTCACCTGGGAGAAGACACCATTGTCCATGGGGCTGGAGAAGGAGCAGTCACCAGGATCTGAGAGGCCAGGAGTGTGTGATGGTCTGGCTACCTTCGAGCACTGACGGTCATGAAGTAACTCAGTGGGAGGAGGGCTGGGTGGGGGAAGGGAGTCCTGCCACTCAGGATGAGCCCAGGGCTGTGGCGTTGAGGACCTCTCCCTGCAGACACCACACACACACTATGGAAGCCACAGCAGTGACATTCTCTACCTCCATTTCAAGGGTGATCCTGATACCCAGCCGCTGGCACCCAGTGGGGGTCCAGGGCCATCACAGATCCCTTCCCCACGGCAACCATGCTGTGCATGCGGGATGCAGCCGGCCCTTCTCTTACCAGACGCAAATCATCCCCGGTTCCTTCCCTCTCCTTCCCTTCCTCTGCCCACGGGTACCAGATGGGAGCAGAACTGCCAGTCCACTGGCCCCAGGAAGCCAGATGTCCTGGAACCGTTCTTGGCACCAATAGCCCAAGGGCAGGCCAGGCCTCCCCAAGTCTCCAGGCTCATGTGAGGATGAAGACAAAGATGAGCCCGGGAGATGATGGTGCACTGTCTTGCTTTATTTATATCTTGCCAAGATGCACAAAGGATCTGTGGCAGTCACCAGAAAGGCACATGTGGCTGTAAGATGAGCAAGCCTCTGGGGAAATCTGCGGCAAAGGGAGTCCAGAAAGGGCCATAGCATCAAGAGGTTAGCAGGTCCCTATGAAAGACACTACGTGGGCTCCAGAGGAAGGCACACATGTGGCCTGAGCTTCCTAGCAGCCAGAGCAAAAAGGAGCAGCATACAAATAAGAGCTGAATGTGACTCCATTTACCACCTGCACTGCCATGACCCCATCTAGCCACCAGCATCTCTGCCCTGTATGCCTATAATGGCCTTCTAACTGGTCTGTGATCCTTAGAAACAGAACTCCCACTGTACTTTCTGCTCGCCCCTTTCCCCAGGGCCCCCCTTTTCAGAACAAAATGCAAAGGAGCTACCACACTCATATGGCTGGCAGTGCTCTGCCCCCTCCCCATTATCATCATTACTGCATGTCGATTTCATTGCCTGCTTATGGCAAGTATGACAGTTGAGAGCATAGGTGCTGGAACCAGGCACCCAGCTCTACTTACAAATGGAGACATCCGACCACTCCCTCCCCTCCCTGCACTGTCCTCTTCACTGTGGCTGCTGGGGGAGAGGTCTCTGCTCCTTGCTGTGGGCATGTGACTTGCTTCAAGGAGTGGAAGGTGGCAGGTGGGCCAGCCCCACCTCCTCTTCCTCATCACCATCATCAGCTCGATTTTGTAATTGGCTGCCAACTGCTTGCCCTACCTCCTCTTTGTCCCCTGTGGTGAGAGCAGATGCTTGGCTACCCACTCTGGGTCCTGATATAGTGGTCCTCACAGCACAGAGGACAACAGGCAGCACTTTGGCTACTGATCAGACCGCATTCCTCTCCCCTTAAGAATGTACTCATTCATTCATTCACTCACTCATGCTTCCATTCAACCAACCTGAATTGGTACCAACCATGTTCCGAGATCATGCTAGGAATAGGGGTACAGAAGAGAACAAAATACACAGAATACCCGCCTTCCTGGGCTGCGTCGCCTGCTGGAGATGGCAATAGAGACATTAATTAAGGGTTGCCCTTGCTCCTCCCATAGGAGATGGACCCAGGCACCCTCCAAGGCCCCACTTCTTCATCTTCCCTCATCACACTCATCTCCCTCTGTGGGTACCCAGCACACACACAAGTATTTGTGTGCCTGCTCAGAGCTGGCACTCTTCCTACCCCATCCGGTAGAGCTCTATGGGGACACAGGCATGAAACTCCCACAACAATACAGGTATATGCAACATAGGGATCCTTACAGGCATGAGACAGGCTGGAGCCTAGGCCAGCAGGGCAGGTACGAAAGGCCACACTGAGGAGGACAGCCGGCATGCAGCCCGAGTGTGAGAGCTAACTGGCTCTGCAGAAAATGGGTGCACAGGGCCAACGGGGGCTCCCAGAAGAAGCACATGTGGGAAGAATGGGTGCTGGGGAAGTGTGAAGCCCAACAGGGTCTTGACCTTGATGCCAAATTCAGCTTGGAGCCACTGAAGGGTCTTCATACTTGGGGGAGGTCTTCAGTGCAAAGACCCCATCTGCTCATTTGCCAAATACCCAATTTGTCACTCAGTGTGGGGGGGCACCAGTCTGAGCAGCAGCTGGGGTATTGGTGCTATCGGGGGCATGAAGACCCCATCCAGGGACTTCCAGAGGACATCCAGGCTCTCAGGGGTCTTCTTCAACTGTGCTGCTCAGCACCCCAGAACAGAACAGAGCACCCCCATTCCTCTTCCTGCCCAGGGTGGCTCAAGTCCATGGTCAAGTGGGGTAAGAGACAAGGGTTGGGATCTCTCTCCCAAGTGCAGAAAGGTCAAAATAGATGTCATGCCATCCATGAAGAAATTATAAACACCTGAGGGCAGAGACGAGCGTAAGTGTCCCTGAGTGCATGCTGGGCGAGCAAGAGGAGGGCCTGGGCTTCCTGAGTAGGGTTGGTCTACCAGTGCACGGGAGGCTGTGCTGGTATGGGGGGGGGGGAGACATGGCTGACATTTGGACCTGTGTGGGGGTCCACAGAGGGCAGGGACAGATAGTTTCTTGTCCTCTTCTCTTCTTGGAGCCTCTCACTGGAGCTGTGGAGGAACCACCTTCGTACAGCAGGAGATTCCAGGAGGTGCAAACACATTAGCAGGTCTCATTAGCAGGTCCCCTCCAGCCTCCAGGAACATAGCTGTGTTAGGTGCCAGAGGCACCTCTGCACCTCTGAGGTATTAGCAGCTAATTACTGAACTGTTTCCCACATGTGGCGCCTGCTTGAGGAAGTCCCGGGCAGCCTGGAGCTGAAGCCAGGCTCCCAAAGGATGGAAGGAGCTGAGTTCCATCCTGCAGACATCGGGCACCTGCAGCCACAGGGGCAGGTCCAGCTACCTGGACAACTCTAGCCTCCTCCTGATGTCCTCTCAGGCTCAGGGTGGTCCATCCACAGACCCCATGGAGTCGAATCAGGAGCTGTTCTGGGTCCCATGTACTGGCTGGTCTCACTGAGCTCCCTTCCTAATGTCCATGCCTGCCACGGGCCACCCCCCACCCCGTATTCATATCCCCCCCTCACTAACGGTTTCCTGCGTGGCCATCTTCATTGCTCACAGCATCCCCATAAGGACTCATCTGAACTCCAGGGACCAGGAGCCATGACCTCCTTGTTGGTTCCCCAGTCCTTGGCATCAGTGCTGCTCCCAGCACGATAGTGCTCAGTCTGGGGATCTGGCCTGATGGGCTGTAAGTGCTGGAGGCGGGGTCCATCCCTTCCATAGACTCTGATGACACCGGGCATTTCTGCTTCCTTGTCATCTGCCCACTCACCTTTTCCTAACTTGTCCTTCCCTCCTGAACACTTCACTGGGGCGGA